CTAAGTTGAGAAATGACATTACTACTTTTGTTCAATTTGATAATGAGTCATTATATGAGGCATGGGAAAGATTTAAGGAATTGCTTAGGCAATGTCCAAATCATGGTTTACCTGTTTGGCTCCAAGTGCAGACTTTTTATAATGGTATGACTACCTCTAATCGTTCTATAATTGATGCAGCTGCAGGGGGTAATCTTATGAATAAGACAGAGGAGGATGGTTATAAGCTGTTAGATGAAATGGCCTCTAATGAGGGGGTGGAACGTTCACTTTCCTGAAAAAATTCCAGTTGCTAACAAACTAACTCTACTAACTTCCTAACCATCTATCTGGTAAAAAAAAAAAAAAAAGTTACAATAAAAAATCCTAAAATAAAAAAATTCTGAAATAAAACTTTTATTTTTATGTATAAAATTATTATAAATATATTATAATTTTTTATATTTTTTTAAAATATAATTCAAAAAAATGAACACAAATATATTTAAAAATACTATTAAAAGAGATTCTGTACCAAAATGTCAGATCCGCCTTAAAATCAATGGGGGAGTATTAATGATTTATATTTAATTATAAATATCCTAAATTATTACAACACAGGCTCCAGCTTTCTGTATTGAGCATACTTGTTCCCAGTCAATTCGGTGGTAGGTACGGTCAGTACTGAATAATAAAACCTGAAATCCGAGTAAGTGCTCGTTAATACAGAAGTTCACTTTGCGGTAAACTGAAATCCGAGAAAGTTCTCAGTGTCAATTCTCGAATCAAAGTGCCCCAGGTAAATTCTCGCTATTTTCTCTCTTCCCAATTACATTTTCTCTGTTTAGATTCATGGGGTTTGGGTTGCCAATGTATAGGTTTTGTGCCCTTGTGTTGGAAAGTGGTGATGTGGTAAATTTGCCAGGAAATTCGGGTTCCGTTTAGTTTTTGAATGTTATCAAATCTTTTATCTGGATCTTTAAGTTCAGTTTTCAGTGCTAAAGAAACTGAGTACAGGAAGATGTAGCCCGTGAAGAATTACAGGAGAGAATCTTGATAATCTATGAACAAATTAGAACCCTAATTTCATCTGTTGAGTTCTTGCACTGGTTGGTGTAATCACTGAATTCAGTCATCATTTTTCAATATTACCAACCAAAAAATCATTTTTTGCAAGATTACCATTGCCATCAATACAAAAATATTTGAACATTTTGAGTCTTTCACTCTGTCAGCTTGTGACTGGAAGGTCTGGGTCACAACTTACTGGCAAACGGACGTTCTCTGTGGTAGTTGTCTCTGTAACAGATTTAGAAAATGAATAGTTGTATTTTTGCCCAGCAGAAATCAAAGCCTAATTCTAGTTCTGGCTACTTCTCTCATTATGCTTGTTTTTACAGATTTTATTCTTTTCTTCTTAATTTCTTCCTTAGTTCTCACTGCTGTGGAAGAGAATTTTTAATTAAGTTGAACTGTTTTTAGTCTTATGAATGACATTGGACTGGTAACTATAAACTGCTTTTCAAACTTTTTATACTAGCATCCTTCAGAAATAAACTTTACAAGTTTGTCTTTCTTAAGACCAAATTATTAAGATTGAATCATGTTTAATAAAACTATTTACCAATTACCGTGTTATGATTCTTATATTGAATCAAAGGCCGTCAAGGTTATGCTGAATGGTTTAAATTCTATGGAAAATTGTTATCCTAGTTGTAAAGAAATGAGAGATGGGGGAAGGATGGTGGGAGTTCTGACTTAAATTAAGATATTAAGATATCATGTGTGGCCTTTGTTATTATTTATTGTATTTTTTTAATCTTTTAAATTCTGCCATTTCATTCACTGCTTTTGTTTCTTCCTTTGTTACTTTGGAGTTCTTGAAGGTTATTATTTTCCCTGTTGACAGTCATGTTCAAGCGTGGAACCAGATCAAGATTATGGCATGTCCCTCAAGAATGCAGGGTGATGGTTTTTATTATGTGTCTGGTTCTAGTTGTAGCAGTATATGTACTAGCATTTGGATTTCGAGTTCAAAAATTGAACAGCTTTGATTCTTTGGGGCAATTTAAGCACAAAAGGGAATTTAGGAATGGAACAGATTTGATATGGCAAATACCTGATTCACCTAAAGCAGTTCTCTTTTTGGCTCATGGTTGCAATGGCAGAGCTCTTAACTTTTGGGATAGATCTCCTGACTGCCCCAAATGTGTAGGTTTGCCAGAGGAAAGGTTACTGGTCCTTCATGCTCTTTTTTGGAGGTTTGCTGTTCTTACGATATCTAGTGCTAAGAGATGTTGGACATTTGGAGAGGAAAAACTGATTGTCGAAGAAATTATAAGGTGGTGGATTAAGAGACACAAGCTTGAAAAGCTTCCTTTGGTAGCCTTGGGAGCCTCTTCTGGTGGGTACTTTGTTTCTGCTCTTGCCTATGATTTGAGGTTCAGTAGTATTACACTTATGATTGCGGAAGGTGTATTTGATAAAATGGACATCCCTAATGATTATCCGCCAACCCTTTTTGTGCACATGCCCAAAGATGTATATAGGCAGCAGAAGATAAGTGCATTTATTGAAGTTTTGAGAAATAAAGGGATTGATGTTGCAGAGATTGAATGCATGGATTTTCCCTTGTCCCCAACTTTCTTAGCTGACAGAATCCCTGGTCTCGATCCAATTGTTTCAGCCAAGTTGTTTGATCTATTCAGGAACAAGGGCTTTGTAGATGAGAATGGTTATATGAAAAGGGATGGGCGTTCAACACGCTGGAAAGAAGCACTCCAGGGAAGTAAGGCTGTTTTACTGGATAAAAATTTGGTGCAGCATGTTCAGGAGGAACTCAATCTTGCCTTTGCCTATCATGAAATGACTAGCTTGCAATCTCAACAGATCTTTAAATGGTTTGAATCTCATATGGTCTAGTCTGTCCATCATATCACATTCTCTCCATTACCAATCTTGGAAGAGTGTGTGTGTGCATTTATTTTTGCTTTTTCTTTTTTCTGCATTACATTGGCAATTATAGCTTTAGATACCGGAAGTTGGCCTTGGTTTTGCAGGTAAAGGAACACGGTGTTCATAGCAAACTGTGAATATTCCAATCTTTTGCAAAAGATTAAACCCCCATTTTGGTCCCTCAACTATTGTACGAACTCTCGATTTAGTCCCTCAAGTCAAAAATCCACGATTTGATCCCTATTATTTACCATTTTAATCTCGATTTGATCCATTCGTTAATTTTTTCACGTTAATCGATGAAACAAGACAGAAAAAGCATTACATGTTTAAAATTTTCACACAAAACTTGACATGTTGATAAAAATAAATGATATGGTCATTGCAACTCATTCCACTCAAAAAAAAAAAATCTCTTTCTTTAGCTCTTTTTTTTTTTTTTTTGGTTCTTCTCTTTCGTCTTTCCCTTTTTCTTTCCTCTTCCCTTTCTTAAACTTCTGCAAACGCAACATCTCAACTGATCTTTAACATCTTAACCAATCTATTCATTTCAACTAATCTCTACCCTTGCTAGGTTAATCATCATCAAACAGCAAAACCCACAAAAAAATAGAATTTTTTATTTTTTTTATTTTTTGCCCTTGGGTTCTTCCAAACCTAGGCATGCAGGCACCATTTCTTTCTCCTTTTTCCTTGCCTTGCCTTCTTCATCTTCATCTTCATCAATCAGTTCTTTATCATCATCAAACAACAAAACTCAAAAAAAAAAAAACAATTTTTTTTTAATTTTTTGGCCGGAGTCGAACCCAAACCTGAATTCCAAGGAACTCAACACCTAGGTTCCAAGGAACTTGCACCTAGTTCCATCAGACCCAGGCGTGCTGGGTTCCAAGGAACCTAGCAGCGGTTATTTGGTTCCAAGGGGAAAAAGAAAGGGAAAGAAAAGGAAAAAGAAAAAAAAAAGAATTTTTTAAGTTTTATTTTTCATATTAATATTTTTTATATTATTATTTTTTCCATGTCATTATTTTTTTATCATGTTGTCTTCCATGTGTATTACTATTTTGACATGTCATAATGTAGCTTTGAATTAATAGGACATATCATGAGATTTTTAATCAATCAATTCTTCATCTTCATTAATCAGTTCTTTATCATCATCAAACAACAAAACCCACAAAATATAAATATATTTTTTTAATTTTTTGCCCTTGGGTTCGATGGAACCTAGGCTTGAATTCCAAGGAACCCAACACCTAGGTTCCAAGGAACTTGCGCCTGGTTCCATCGGACCCAGGCGTGTTGGGTTCAAAGGAACCTAGTGGCAGCTATTGGGTTTCAAGGGGAAAG